ACCCTAAACCCTAAACCCAGCAGCATTACAGGCCTCTGCAAGGCCAACTGCCTCCTCTTTGCGCGATCGTGTGGAGGCTGCGAGTCGTCTCTTGAGAGCAAAGATGGTTTAGGGTTTAAGGTTTAGNNGGGTTTCGGGTTTGAGGTTTAGGGTGCATGGGGTTTAGGGTTTAGGATTTAGGGGCTTTCTAGCGGAAGCGATCCAGGACGTAGTTTTATTGCAGTCCCCCTCTCAGAAAGGGCTTGGGAGACCCTGTACTGCCACCCGATTTATTTGGCTTCGCGGGTGCAAAATCTGCCGTACTAGTTTGTTGGGGGTTTCCGAAAATAGGGGACCCTAACATAGCACCCTAAATAGTAGGATCCTTATTGTAACGACCCCTTAATAAGGTACCCCCTATTTTCGGAAACTCCCACTTCGGCTTGCCGCATTCCTCTCTTTTGGCGTGGAAATGCTCAGTGCGCGGGCTAGGTCAAACCTTTGTCAGGTGAAGACGGTTGTTTCCAATGTGGATGTTGATAGTGATCGATGATAACGATGAAGGTGTGAAGGTATTGCTGATCCACTTCTGATACCTGGTTCTTCATGATCTAGGCGAGGACAATGTTGACACGAGCTCCCGATGATGGTGAGCATGATGCAGATAGCGAAGATGAAGGCCATGATGGTGACTTCCGCCATGCAACGGTTGTCCTTGCGAGGACGATCAGCAACATGATCATACTTCAGACCCAGCACATGTTTCACGACGGCCTCGGGTTTTAAACGCTTGATTCCCGCAGTGCGTACGTTCCGGTATTCAGCTTTGTTGTTGCTGGCTTACCTAGCTCCGATCTGACCAAGGGAACTCCAACTTGAAGCAGTATAGAATACGATTGAGACCATGATGTGTTAGAGTTCAGAGGGATTCTCTGTCCGTCCCAGGGTCCCATGCCTCCAGCCACTGAGGTACCACTCTTCAGCAGGTGCAGGCGCTGTTCAAAACACACTGTCACCAGCAGCTGACCCCGGTGGTCCTCGGAACAGTACTGGACTCTTGTCGGACAGAGAAATTAAAGAGGGACAACATGATGCAATTTGGTAAAACATGACACAGCGATAGAGTTTGATCTATCGTTACATATCGCAAGGATATAGTGCAAAATATGATAATCTAACCACGGACATGTCAAGCAAAAGTAAAATCAGTACAGACTCGCTGAATCGATTCTCTTGCTTCTGTCTGTTGTTACTGGTTGAACGGGACATGGCCGCCAACACAACCCCTAAACCCCTAAACCTCTAAACCCCTGAACCCTAAACCCCTAAACCCTACACCCCAAATCCTAAACCACCGACACAACTGACTGCATTACTTTGAAGAAGGGCCCAGATCCACGCAATCCCGAGCCGAGCCTTGTCGAGTTGCATTTTGTGGAAACCCCCTGGTGTCATGGACGGTTTAGGGTTTTAGGGTTTTAGGGCTTTAGGGTTTTAGGGTTTAGGGTTTAGGGAGTCTACACATGTCCACAACCACGGCATACGGTCAGTTCGAGAAACAGAAAACTGTCTTGTCTCCTGCATCGGAAACGGCTGACTCCTCGTGTGCCTCTGCAGGAGGTGTGAGCAGTCAGCACGTGACAGTTAGGACCTTCGTGTGATAGAAGCACCATGTATAACTTGTAAGACCACGGTGATCCGTAGTCAGGCCATAGGGGCGCGAGATATTCAGGGCTGCAAAAGTGGATTCCATGCTCTTCTCAGCTGCTATAGAAGCAAACAATCCATGACATTGAGCCCTCCTGCAAGGACTCTTTGGGCAACCCAAAGGAGTCGAACGAAGAGATGGTCACCTTGGCATTCCGCATGCTTGGCACTTCCGGCCGAATGGACGTTGACTCTTTCTTGAAGTGGGTTTTCCAGGAGGGCAGCTCAGTGCCAGCCTAGCTCCGAGAGGAGCCTGTGGACACGGATGCATGCGAACTCGACATGCTTCATGCCACTGGCTCTGTGATCCGTGAGAACCAGCATTTCGACTGCATGACATGTCCTAGTACACCCTGTGGAGTGTTATCCACTGCTGCTCCCACTTCATCCCCACTTCTTGAGACTGCGCAAAGCGCAGCCTCAGATGGTCGCAACCTCCGCCCGATGAGTCTGAAACCCGAGAGCATGAAATGAGCAGAAGGCTCGACGAGGTTGGGTGGGAATATGAGGTTGACATGAAGGCTCACAGCTGGGATGTCTACATTCGTGCGGAGGTGCTGTTGCAGTCAGGGTTAGGTACAGCCTAATCAGCAAGGCGATTGGGCAATGGCCTTGGTTTTCAGTGGCGAGTACTCATTCGTACACCTTTCCATACCACAAGACCCCTTGGCAGATGCCTCACTGAAAGCCGAGAGCCTAAAGTCGGGATCCTGCAGCGAAAAAAAAAAACTGCCATGCTGAGCTATCGTTTCGTCCGGCCCGGAGAGGAATCCAAACATGGCTCTGCTTGATTGCCTCCGAAGTTGCAGAGGTTTCGGGGAAGCGATCACCAGTCCGTTTGCCGAACCTGCCATCTTCCCATGCCTTCTGCAGCTTTTTTCGTGGCAGGCCCGGTGGTGTGGCCGCGAGGTTGGCTCGAGAAAGCCGGCGATCCATCAATCATCCAAGTATTACGCAGCACCTTCTTGTTATCATCCAGGCGCACAGGAAAAACCTGAGACGTAAAACCCTCAAGCCATAAGCCTGACCCCCCAAATTCAAATGGTCACGAATGCCCCAAACTCTAAACTGGCAGCCGGGGCGAGGTCCGGCCAGCACTGTACACTTGAGCCATCGAGGACAAGTTTTTCAATTTCTTCCAGAGGAAGGGGCCACCTATAGGTGCATCTGTGCAATTGATGAGAGTAAATCACGGGTTTCAGCGCTTCTGTGTGTACGTATGCAGTATAGAAGTACGCACGTACAGGTGTGTAGTCTATGCAAAGCGCCACGGCAGCAAAGCAAAGGCAGATAAATGCATGCTTACCACGCATGCGACCGTGCAATCATATTGCAAAGGCGGTGGCTCCTACCAGCAACAAAGATAGCTACTTCTCCGAGGTTCTACACCCATTCTCCCTACATCGCCTGTAGATGCATAGAGACGCGCATCTCGAGTGTTGGCGATGTACCGCCTTGCAGCTGCACGGCTTGCGTCGCTTCAAGCACGTAGCTCGCCTGAAGAGCGGTAACAGATCGGTCAGGATAGGTCTATGGGTACGTAATTGCATAGTGGGCCGGAAGCCTTGGTTGACTTCTCAGGAGCAGTTCGTTGTTGTCGCTTCTACACTTGAGGCAGGCCTGTTCTGATGAATCTGATATACCTTGATTCTATGTCGTACTGTCAGATTTCACGTGCTGGTAGTACCACTCCTCATGATGCTGGTACTCACAGAAAAACGACAGTGACGGTTATCTTTTACAGTACGTTGCAGCTGCCATGAGACAAGCTGCAGAAGCCTGAGGGTATGACTTGAGCAATCAACTCGTTCACAGGTTGCAAAGCAGACCGGAGGCGCATGAGCAAGTAAATCAGCAGATAGGTAAGCAAGCAAGTAAGTAAGAAAGTATTTATGTAAGCAGGCTAGAAAGCAAGAACCGCAGGACAAGAGCTCCCTGCAGAACATGAACACGCTTGGCATGCGCGGCCCCGTTACCCCTGTACCCAATAGACTCCTCGCAGAAGCTCCTTCAAAGCTCCTCCTATGTATGTTTGTCTGTGTATGCATGCATGTATCTATGTATCTATGAACGCATATGCATCCATTTGTCCACCTACCTGTCGACCTATCTGCTATCTATCTATCTATCTATCTATCTATCTATCTATCTATCTAATTATCTATCTATCTATTGGATCCATCCATCTATCTAACTATCTATCTATCGATCGATCTATCTATCTATCTATCTATCTCTCTATCTATCTATGTATCTATCTATCTATCTATCTATCTATCTATCTATCCCATCTATCGATCTATCTATCTATCTATCTATCTATCTATCGGCTTATTTGCCAATCTATGTGTCTATGTGATTATCTATCTATCCAGCTATCTAGCTACCAAGAATCTGTGTGTCTATGTATTTATCTGGATTTGGTCACCAAAGTCCACGACTACCGTAGGACGATCAAGTTCGTTTGGCGACATTAACAGTTTCGGAGTTGGGGCATCAAGCGTGGGCGGCTTTACACTGTGAACCCAAAGAATCCGAAGGCCGCGGAATAGATTAGGGTTTAGCGGCGTCATGTCCAATGTTGCCCACTATTCTGCTCGTCTGAGTTTGAGAAGCCAACACAGCATCAACCTAGTGACACCAGATCGGCAGCATTGCCTAGCACATTGCGGTTTGTCAATCTTAAGATGCAGCAATATGGGAGCATCAATAATCGGAATTTGCTTTAGGTGCTGACTATATCATTATATTGGGCCTTCAGGAATATTATGACATTTTCTAGGCTTCCAGTTATATCGCGCTCACCTCGCAGACCCAGACCTTGAACCTGCTGAAACAACCCTTGGGGACTGGCTTAGGCTGTTGATCCTGCACCCTAGTCCCTACGCCGTAAACCCGAAACAATGCCAGACCCTCTTCATGCAGAAAACACGTGATGACAAATTCAGAACCTCGCAATGGTAATACTGGTGATGCTAGTACCGGTACTATAAGTAAACACATACGCAAGAAACTGACAATCTATATGTACAGCTGGAAGATGGAGAAGGTCAATCGGGACTTACAGTGAAAGACCCCATTACCCCAAACCCTAAACTCCTAAACCGCGAACCCTAAAGGTCTAAGACTACTAAACTCTAACCCCCAAAAAACCCGAGACCCCCGAGCCCCAAGCCCTAAACCCCAAACCCCTATAAGCCCTAAAGCCCTAAGCCAGAAAGGTTCAGTGTGTCGGGTTCCTAGGCCCTAAGTCTAGGACATGTTCAGGTGGGTAGTTACCATGATAGAAGGTCTATATACCTTATCGAAGCCTTATAGAAGCCCTATATGCCCTAAACTCCCCACCTGCAGTTCCCTTTAACTAAACATTGGCTTGCGGCGACCAGACAGACTTCAGACACCACCCTACACCCTGAACCCTAAACTCCCCACCTGTAGTTTCCTTTCCTTTAACTAAACCTTGAACCCTACACCCTAAACCCTAAACTCCCCACC